CGTTCCGAACGCTGTCTTCAAAATGTTCAACGAATGCTTATCCTATTGGTCAATTGCTGACCAATCAAATTTTTCTATATATTTACGTGCCCCAGTCTCCTCTTTCTTATGGTGAAAACCGCAGGTCGCTAACTGTTTGCGTTCTCGAGTTATTCAACTCGCAATCGCGCGCATTCTTTTTTGAAACGGATAGTAGCTTAGTTAGTATGAACTATTATTTGTAACGAGCGTAAATAATCTTGTATGATCCTCTTGATATTCAATCCTGATCTTTCAAAGCTGAAAAAATTATATAACATTCGTAATATCGATTAATCTCTATAGAATCTTATATAAAGAAAAAGAAAAGAATTACATTTTTAGGGTGTTCAAATAGCTACTGGAACTTTTATGGAATTATTACAATCATGTCCAGCATTCATACAATGGACAGAAACAACAACTCGTAAATTACGTGTAGATTCGTCGTCGGCAAATACTTCATCTAGTCAATTAAATCTATCTTCTGTACCAGAATATCTAACACAATTTTCAGTATACTTATTTTAATAAATAAATAAAAAAAAACGTTAAATTTTATTATTTATCAATAATTTTAGTTATTACCAACGGATGCAGGATATGATGAAGAAGATAATTTATTAATACCATCAATTGATAAGCCTATACAAAAAGAAATCATTGAATCAAAACGAATTGGTTCTATTAATATAAATATATTTCTACGTTATATACGAGCTGGTGGTTGTGGAATATTTGGTTTATTATGTCTTTTTATTATGTTTGCTGTAACAAGTGTAGTTGTTTTACTTGCTCATTGGTGGCTTGGTCGTTGGTCTAATGCCGAAGGTATTCGTTATAGATCAATAAATACAGCGAATAATTGTTCATCAATGAAAATATCACCGATTACTAATATGTCAAATGAAGAATGGTTTAAACAAAGAGATAAATATTTTTATATTTTATTTGGTAAGTTTTCAAACATAATTTTAGACAAAAGTTAACAGTCTTTCATTAAATTATACTAACAAATGATCAAAAAGTTTTGGTTTTTTTTTTTTTGTTGAACAAGGTATTTGTTTATTTTTGACGTATTTTTAGTGATTTTTTTTTACAAGACCTAAAAAATTTATTTTCAATACTGACATTATTTCACTACTTCCGAACTAAGTCTGACAAAAATTTTCTAAGTTCATATTAGAAAAGAATACAAAAATCTGCTCCTAATTAATACATCCAAAATGAACAAATATCTGATGTAACAAGCTTTTCGATTATCCGTTATTATTTATAATATTGAACTAATATTTTGGGTAAATGCATGTAACGATAAATCTTGATTGCAAATATCAATCTGCCCTCTCATCCATTCAGGAATGAGTGTTGATGTGAGTGATTACAAGACCACAATCACACTCTTTTTTAAAACTCATATGCAACTTCAGAGATCATAGATAATGAATCCATGCTGTAGTATTAATTCGATTCCCTCATGTCTTGACGCTCTAAAAATTGCAGAATAGACTTATTGTCTTACGGAAGTTTCATATTTAAAAATTAGTATTTTTATTCATTGAACAAATATTCTTAATGCAGGGGCGGATCTACAGTAGAGAATGTGGGGCGACCGCACCCCTCTTTAGTACTGATTTCATGCTACTTTCTAGCGATTTGTCGACAAAATATCGTATTTTTATCGTAACCGCACTCCCCCCCCCCCCCTTCGAAAGTTCCTGGATCCACCACTGTCTTAATGGGCAAGTTACTGTTTGCGCTCAGGATTAGTTACAACACATATTTATTAAAAAAATCAGTTCAATATCATCAAGAAGAGTAGTATTTCAAGGCGAACAGCTACTTTTATTTATGATAATAGATGAAATAAAAATAATGAAAATTTATTTTTGTAGGATTATGTTTATTAAGTATTATATTATTATTTATACGAACTCTGGCTTATTTTCTTTCATGTCATATAACAGCTCGATCACTTCATAATCAAATGTTTAATTCATTACTTCGTGCACCAGTATTTTTCTTTGATTCAAATCCTATTGGTAGGCAAATATTTCAAAGATTAAATAGACTAGCTACAAATGAAAATAAAAAAAAACTAAATTCTATTTAAGGTCGTGTTGTTAATCGTTTTTCAAAAGATATTTCATCTATTGATGAACAATTATCTGATGTTACATATAATTTTGTTGATGTATGAAAAACAAAAAAAAAAAACATGAAATTCTATTTTATTTTTAATTATTTTCTTTTGTTTTTTTTTTAATAGGCATTTTTTGCTATAACTTCAACAGTTATATTTATTGCATCTCTACAACCATTATCACTTATTTCAATGGCATTAGTTGGATTTGTTATGGCACGAGTACGTCGACTTTTTGCACCAGCTATACAAGATATTAAACGACTTGAAAGTTTAAGTATACACTTATATATTTATTAATAAAGTAGTTTATTATTAGTATTTATTAATTTCTAGCTCGATCACCAATTTATTCTCATTTATCATCATCAATACAAGGTGTAATTATGATTCGTTCTTATGGAGCACAACAAATATGTATACAAGAATTTTCTCATTGTCTTGATGAACATACACGAGTATATAGTATTATGCTTGCCATGACTCGTTGGTCAGCTTTGAGAATAGAAAGTGTTGTAGCAGCTTTTGTTGGTTTTCTAGTTTTTTCAATTTTACTTACATATCAAAGTATTATATTATTATTTAATTTATTAAATCTTTATTTAATATATATATATATAGGTTTACCTATTTCTGATTTAAGTTTAATTTTGGCTTATTCATTTACATTAGTTGGTGCTATTCAATGGGTTATTCGACTGACTGTTGATGTTATGATGCAGGTAGAAAATAAAATTTTTTTTTAAGAATTTTAATTATGACTTCGGACATAGCGAAAGTAGCAGTTTTAGCTTATAAAAACTTATATGAAAGAGTTAATTAAGTTTTTATTCCAGTAAGTATTTGAGCTATTCGTCACATAATCGATTTTGTTTAAAGTATTTTTGATTCAAAAATTCATCATTTTGATTTACAACACTCAATGTATTACTAAGCAACTAGAAAAATATGAAGAACTACAACCAAACAATCTGTAGCAACTACAATATGACATAGCAACTTAGTCTCAAAATAATGTAATTCAATAATTCCCCAAAATCACTTATGAATCACTATATCAGAACGAACCATAAAGTACTACGTTTTTTCAGATGCTCAATAGAATCTGTCACACAATCCGGGTCCGGTCGAACCGTACTTTGACACTTATATGCAATTTTCTAAGCGCAATAGGATAACTGTCGTGAAGATATAAGATTTTTTTTTCTGGTTTTTGTATTCAGTGATTAGTACATCGTACAGGTAAAGTGGTAAAAGGTCAAAAGACAAAATGTCGAAAAGCACATTGCAGAAATAAATAATGTCGAAACAATGAGGGTATGGGTGTTGGTGTAGGTCTGGCTGTGAATGTAGGGTGTGGGTGTTGGTGTGGGAGTCATCTAAAAGAAGACCCACACCCACACCCTAATCATTATTGTTAGATTCTCTTAACGTAACAGTCAAATTCATAGAAAAAGAAATAATCTAATTAAGAGATAATTGTTTTTTCATCGTCAGCCGATAGAATGTCTTTTCAACGGCATTTTTCATATTTTTTTCTACATTCTTTCATTCGACAAAGTGATTTTCGACATTTTTTTATTTCTGCAATGTGCTTTTCTGCGTCCTGCTTTTCGACATTTTGTCTTTCGACCTTTAACCATCTATTCCATCGTACATATGTTATAGACGAGTCATCTGAGAAATATATAGAGTACAGCACGTCGGATTCATACTATATGGAGTGCCGTAACGAATTTTTTTGTTATCAAAGACTATTTGAAAAATAGTATCAACAAATACCTTCAAATAAATTGTTAATGTGTAACTTAACATAAGTAATAGCTCAAATATTTGATTAATTCTTTTCTATGAAATTTCATCTGCTAAAATCACTCGTTTTGATATGTTTTCATTATTATTTATTATATAGATGACAAGTGCTGAACGTGTTATTGAATATATTGATTTACAACCTGAAGAATCATCAAATATTAAAAATTTAAAAAGTTTACCATCTCATTGGCCAATAGGTGGTATTATTTTTGATAATCTTTCATTTCGTTATTCATCAACAAGTCCATGGGTACTTAAAAATTTAAATATTTCGATTCAACCAAAAGAAAAAGTAAAACTTTTGTATAACAAAAAAAAACTATACAGTCAATAATTCTATTTTTTTCTGTTTATTTTAGATTGGTATTGTTGGTCGAACAGGTGCTGGAAAAAGTTCACTTATTGGATCATTATTTCGTATGGCAGAATTAGATGGTCGAATATTAATTGATAATATTGATACACAACAAATTTTATTATATGATCTTCGACGACATATTTCAATTATACCACAAGTAATTAATCAATATAAAAATTTATAAAGAATTAGTTTGTTTTTTTTGTTTTGTCTATTGAAAAGGATCCTGTTTTATTCAATGATACACTTCGAATTAATCTTGATCCATTTGGTGAATATTCTGATATTGAAATTTGGAATGCACTTGATGAAGTAATAAAAATAAATAAATGATTTAGTTAATAATTAATTTAAATTTAATTATAGGTACAATTAAAATCTGATATGATTGATGGTTTACAACAACAAGTAACTGAAGGTGGATCAAATTTTAGTGTTGGTCAACGACAATTAATTTGTTTAGCACGAGCACTTCTTAGAAAAAATAAAATACTTGTTATTGATGAAGCTACAGCAAATGTTGATCATAGGTTATTTATTTAATTTAATAATGAATATATTTCTTTAATCTAATATTTATAGAACTGATGAACTTATTCAATTAGCTATTCGACGTAAATTTATTAATTGTACTGTATTAACAATTGCTCATAGGTAAACAAACAATTATTTAAGTCCTACGAAATAAACAAAAATTTTTCAGAATTCGGAGCTGTTTAGTAGGCTTATAGAAATAGTGTACTACCTTAAAATAAAGAAAATATTTGTTGAAATACATTTTTATTTTATGTAATTTTGTTTTAGATTACGAACAATCATTGATAGTGATAAAATTTTGGTTTTATCTCATGGTCAAGTTATGGAATTTGCAAGTCCTTATGAATTGTTAAGTGATGAACAATCATATTTTGCACAACTAGTCTCTCAAACTGGTGATCGTGAAACTTCACATTTAATTCAACAAGCTAAAACGGCTGCAATGGCTCGTCATTCACAATAAATGATTTTCATAATTTCTTTTCTTTCTTTTTCACTTTATCTATTTTTCAATGTAATACATTCGAAAAATTAAATTTTATTACTGATATATATTAAGCTAGATATTTGAAAGTTAGACTTTCTTATTAAATAAAAATTAAAAAAAACAATTTGAAGAATAAACAATGCTCATAAATATATGTGATAATCATGAAAATTTCTTTAACAGCATATTTGAAGTTTTACAGATAGAATTGTATATCTCAAAAGAAAAAGTATTTATTTCTGCTGAAAATTTTAATTTTTTCTCTACTTTCGGACTTCAATTATAATGATAATTACATCGAAAAATATCAATCACTAACAAAAAGCATCACTTTCACTTATCTCACTGCATACTTTAATCATCACTTTTACCATTCTAAAATCCTATTCGAATCTTGAAATAGGTCACTCGATTCAAAGAGGTGTTCACATAGACTGAATTGCAAAAATCTTTAGGCTGGATGAATCTGATCCGGAGTTTTTCTTATCTACCTCAGAATTTTCTTCAAGTCGAATCAAAATAGCAAACTCGATGAACTTGCCTATGTAAAAAAAGACTAGTCTATTTTGAGCACTAGTCTCATAGAATTTTCCAGGATGTTTTTTCTATAATTTTTCTTTTCTATTTTGATACTGCGTAATAAACGATATACTTCACTTGATTCAAGCAAATATTTTAAATTAAAACATGTTTTTAATTATTTTGACTGAATGTATATGAATATTTTCTTCGTAGAAAATTTTCATTTAAGTGAATTATCATTTGATCAAAGTAACATTTACCAAGTTTTCATTATAAATACATTGGACGCTGGAAACAATCTTTCGTTAGCCTTTTTAGAATAACTATTCGACAGTTGGTTCCTAGTGTGTTGTTATTTATGAACAATGTACCAGTACATTTAATTAAACGAAGTTATTTTTGAGTGTTGCATTGACAATGCTGAATTTCATTCCATGTAGATAATATTTGAAGTTTCCAAGCAGACAGAAACAATATAAGTTTTGAATATGCTAGATTTAAATACAATTTCATATGATATTCTATAGAAAATCAGACCTTAAAAATCGAATTTATTATTTCTCTGCTAATATAATTATAAAAATTTATGCTAGACAACTATTGATAAGCCCGATTGGTACATTGTATTTGTCGGACGTCTTGTTTCGATGAACTTTAAATGCTGATGAATTCAAGTACAACCCGATCGAATATAAAATTTCTTTCAAATCATCAATGAATTGATAATACATTTATCAAATACAATTACTCAGACAAGTATAATTAACATAACTACTAAAGTAAATTATGCTCTATGTACAAATGAAAATCAGTTTCAATTATTGTGAAAACAAAATTAATAGTTTCTCCAATTATATTAGTTGGAGAACCATCCAAATAGGTTACATTCTCAAATGCTATAAAGTAATCCGTTGAAACTAATGAAACAAACTGATTAATAAACGATCTGAAGGTGTTAAATTTTCTTACCCGAATATTAAATGGGTACCGTTTTTCTTGTAAATTAAGACACTTCAGTAATAGTCGTGTAAAAAAAAGCATACATTGAAAATGTTCTCATAATAATTTTAAATGAATGTGGAAAATGTTGTCTCAATAGTCTAAAATTTTGTACATGATCCTAAATATATTTAAATATTAGATTAGAATAATTGCAATGAAATTACAGTTGTTAGAACCTTCAGACAAACAAAAAAAAATAAACTTTTCATACATCCTATGCAATCAATATAATTGTACTTTTTTGACTTATTTAATAATATTAAATATAAATAAATAGATAATTTGATCCTATCTGCCTACTATTATAAAATAACGTATTTTTAACTTTAAAAAAAAACATTTGAAAATAAATCTTGACAAATTTCTTAAATGTATTGAATGCATGTTTTGAAAATTTTGCTTTTAGAGAAATAAAACACAGAGTTAATGAAAAAAAAAGAAATATTGTTCTCTATTTATTTTAAAAATGCGCAACATTTAAATAAATATTGAATAATTTTATTTATTACCAACACATCCATTTAGAAGATCGGTGTTGTTTTTTAAGAGCAAATGCAAGACAATCTAAATAAATATATATTATTTTTTATTTAAATTTTACATTTTTGGATAATTTTACTTCTTTTTGGCCGATCTATATCCATAGGTTTTTCTTCAACGGTCGATGAAATATCAGATTGATCCTAAAACAATTATTAAATTTCCTATTGTTTTTGCTTTGAAATAATCATTTTACATACTGAATGATCAATCGGATATTCGAGATCTTTTGACCATATTTGCTGAAAAAATTTTGATGGAATAAATATTCGTTTATTTCCATTACCATAAACATGCATCAAAGTAAAGGAAAAAATTGAAATACAAATCATTAATCGAATCATGATCTAATATATCAAATAATTTCTATTACTTTTTATTAATCATTAAGTATTTTTACTTACGTGTTAAAAGATTGTCTAGTTTTTTGTGTTAAGTAAAACAAATAGAAAAAAAGTTTTATTGTGTATGCAGTTTTTTACATGTAATATATAAAGAAAAAAAGTTCCTTCTTTTGTGGGACTACAAGTCACGATTTTACGCTTAGGTAATAAAAACAATTTACGTAAAACATATTCAATGTGTAATCAAATAGAAGCTAATAAAATGAAAAAAAAGAAAAGAGTTTTGTAAGTATATTTGAGCAAAATGAATCATTTATTTGGATTCCCATCATATTTATTTTTTTAGCATAACTCATACATATCGAACATTTTAACCTTGTAGTTTTGTCATAGTTGACATTACTAATTAGTTGAGTTTGAAATATGAGAATTAATATTTTTAATATTCTCTTAGAAAAAAGATTTATAACATGACGAAAGCTAAAATCATGAATTTAAAGAAGAGTTCACAAAAAAAAAGAAATAATCAACAAACAATGAACGATACTTGTCAGTTTCACCTTTCAGTTTTTCTTGAGTGTTCTATTGCATTTACTGTTAATTAGAAATGAAAATCAAGTGAATTAATTTTCCTTTTTGTTTTTTGAAGGCATTTAAGAGTTCTGCATCAATTTTCTTTAGTTTACACATTGATTTCGATTACTTTTGTTTATTTAACAAAATTTTATTGTATGTTTCATATATGTTTTGATGATTTCAATATGAAGAGAAAAATCAACAAAAAACGAAAGTCAGTTAATATGTTATTAACCCTCTGAGGGCGAAGCCCGTATATATACGGTTTGAAAATTCCAGTAGAAATGAAAATCTTTGGCTTTATTCATGTAGATTCTTTGAGTGTTTTGTTTCTTTTCCGATCTCAAAATTCTCTATTTGTATGTTTGCAATAAGAATCAATATAACAATTATGATAGTTAATACGTTTCAAGTTAGAACTGATTCTGACACTACGATTTTATTGCTTTTATAAAGAAAAAGTCCGCCTTCAAAGGATTAAACAATCCAATGTAGCAACGATTATACATCATATATTATCGACTATACTGTTTAGACACCAAATTTAATCTTCATTTTCATCAGTGCTGAGAAGATATTGGAAATGTGAAATTATAGTAGATCGTTTTCTTTTGTTTCTTTCCTTGTTGTATGATTAGACTGAGTGTGATGAACTTGATCAAGAATATTACATTTTCAATTTTTAGGAATGATTATTTAGGAGAAATTTTCAGTTTTTTTTCAGATCGCTTGTTTCTCGATAAACGACAAATTTTCCATCATTTCATTTCCTTTTAATTTCTCAACTGTCTATTTTTAATTTAGCATGAAAAACTCAATCTTGAAAACTCGTTCATAAAATGAGTTTTCAAGAGGTGCGGCGCGAGCAAGGGGGTTGGGGGAGGTACCCAGCCTGCTTTGAGAATTCTGGTTCCAATTTTCTCCTAATGTAGAGAGATTATTAAAGAGTTTTCTCCGATTTTGGAAAAGTATAATCGGACAAATTTTATAAATTTTGACAAAAATTTTAGGCTACTTTCTCCGATTTTTGGATAACGCTCCCCCCTGTTCTGACCTCATCACGCCGCCCCTGGTTTCCAAGATTCAATTTTGAAATTCAAACGAAATGAAATGTGTGAAAAATTGTCAGTTATCGAAAATTGACCTATTTTTCAGAAAGAAACAGGTCATTTGGAAAGCAGCTGCAAATTTTTTCTTATCTCAACACTATCTATCTAACCATACATAAAGAGAAAAAAAACTTTTACTGTAATTTAGTATTTCCAGCATCTTAAACATTATTACATTATATTCTAATATTATAATTATAAGAAATACATGCAACACAATACACTCTTGTTTTTAAAAACCGCTCACATCAATCCTTACTCATATAAAAGAATACTTTAGAAAAAACATTGCTGCGAGAAATTTTCTCAATCGTTATATGCCCTACAAAGAAAAATAATATTGTGTTTTCCATTTATTTTCTTGCCGATAATTCTTTGAAAATTATATTACAAAGTTCAACTTTAAGATTTCAAACAATTATACACTAAATTGCACACGATGGGTTCTATCCTTGTGCCATCTAGTCTTTTATTTTATAAAGAAAAAAATGCATAACAAGAAAAAAAAAAGAAATCAAATTATTTTCATTTAGTTCGTGTATAATAACTATAATTAATTGCGGCATGTTTTTTAACTTGATCAGCAATACGATCAATATTTGTATTATCTGATGCAATTATAAGATTAGATTCGTCCGATTTTATTTGAGGTTTATTTTGTTGTTTTGATACATATGTGCTTACATATTTATCATCAATTTTCATCCATGATTGTGGCATTTCTTCAGTACTAAATAAAAAAAAAAAAATTATTAAAAAAAAATTTTATAAAAACAAGAAATTTTACCGTTGACGATATGATTTAAATGCTGATGATGTTTGATCATGATTATTAAGATTTGATGAATATGTTGTAGTTCCAACAGGTGGATAAAGTGCTCGACGTAATGTATTAAGATCAACACAAACACCATCGGGTTGTAAACGTTGAAGTTTATCATACATTTGTCGACATTCTTGTTCATCATTTGGTAATAATGTTACTTCAGGTCCATGAATATCAATACGATTTGGTGGTGCACTTTCTATTTGTCGTTTTGGTTTTTCTTTAATATGAAAAGTTTGTTTTTCTTGAATAGATATTTTTTCATTACGTCGTTGTTTACATGATGATGTTCGTTGATAATTTCTATCTTTATTTGATTGTGTTGCCATTGTAATTGGTGCGGATTGGACTCGAGTAGATGAATTTTTTGTCGTTGTTTGCCTCTATAATTAAAGAGAAACGTTAGTAAAGAAAAAATGTCGCTTTCTTTCTTTTTTTTTCTGCTCGGTTATTTTTTTTAATAAAAGCAACATGAATGTTGATGAGCTTAGATGCACTGTGCGAAAGCACTCAAGAAAAAAAAAGACATATTATGTTGATGGAATGAGGATATATTATCTGCGTAATGTATGCACCAAGGAAGAAAGGAAAAAAAGAAAAGGTTTTATCATCTACCTACATATAGACTTGTGTGTGTGTGTACTCAATGATAATAAATAGAGACACATGTTGTAGTTCCTTTTTTTTCAACCAGCAAAAGGAATGTAGTTAACAAATATGTTTTACATTTATTCTTCGTTTTTTTTTAACGAAATACTGTTGCTGTTTGACGAACTATTTTCTATATAAAATTTATCTTTTTTTGTATAGAGATAAAAATATATTTGAAATTATATAATATATTATTTAGTGAGATGATAATTTTTGAATACAAATTGTTAATATTCATTAGACAAAACTAATTTCAATGAGAGCAATTATAATGATAAAATTTTCTTTAGACCATATCGAACAAAAAGACATCATTAATTTGATTGATATTTTCTGAAATTAACTTCAATCTAGGCATTGGTCTTTTCTTTTTTTTTTCTTCAAATTTAACAAATGGTTTGATTTCATTTGAATACTTTAGTCAACAAAAATTCATACTTTCGGTATTGGAGGTTTCATATTATTATGTTGAATATTTGCACTTGATACATGTGTTACTATAGTCTTTTCTTTTAATTGATTCATAGCTGATGTTTGTCTTACTTGACCATTATCAAAAGTAAATGTATTTGTAGTTATTTGATGAGATTGTTCTGTATCAAATGTTGCTTTCATTTTTTCTAATTGTGTATAAAATTGTTGAATAAGAATTTGTTTATTAGTTATTTCTGTTGGTTGATTTTCATCATAATATACAGTAGCTAGATGAACAGAAGGATTAGATTTTGATGATGTATCTACATTAGACAATTGATAACGACCAATTAATGAATGTGGTTTCTGTTGCTAGAAATGAAATATTTCATAAAAAAAGTGATGAAATTTTCTAAGATAAAAAAATTGTATTCTAACTGATTTCGAATAAGAGAATAAAAGGAATGCTGTTGAAGAATGACTCATCAGAAAAAAAGATGTATTGATCTTATTTTCAATTGATGACATAGATAGTAAGTAGTGGCGTAACCAGGGGGGTGGCCAGGTGGGGCTAAGCCCCTCCACCGTTAAAATCCTGGTTTCGCCACTAATAGTAAGAGTTGTCAAATATATGATATAGTATTGAAGAGAACTCTGTCTGTTTTTACAATTAAAATAATTTATTCCTAGTGAAATCTTGTTGAGAAATACTAGAAAATACCAAACCTTATTTTAATTATGAAAAATCTATATAGACAGAGGGAATCTTCTTCAATTCTACATCATATAGTTGGCTTCTCTTACTATCTATAGTACAACATGAATCAGATTAGTACATCTTCATGTATGTAATAAAATTTTGTCATCGACTATAGGAAATCGAATAATAGAGTTGAAAGTTTTTTGGTTTTTTTTTTTTGTATCAAAATTCTGATACAAATCAACAATGAATCATATTTTGAAATAAAATAAAACAAGTATCCTAAATATTTTCTAGTATACAATTATTATGAAAAAGATTTTTATTTAAAACAACCTGTAAGACTCTCATCTAGTTTTCTATTCTAGGATTTAGTCATACCTTATAACAAAATTAAACATTGACGTCAATCTACTCTTCATTTAAAGTTTTCATCTTCAATATTTCTTAAATAAGATATCTGTTTAATATTATTTCTTGTACATGATAATTATTTTAAACTTTTTTATTGTTCGTTTTTTTTAAATTAAGCTCTATAGTTATATTTATGAATTTAATTTACTTCTTTGATTAATACTCATACATGTTATGTGTTAAACTATTAGTTAGCATTATTGTATAATGAGTTTAAATAAAACAATATTTTATGACATAGTAAAGAAATGTTTTTGCTTTTAAA